ATAGGCGGCCTTGGGGAGGGGGGGGGGGGGACACACAGAGGACGGCAGCCTGGGGGTCACCCACAAACCCCTGCTCCATCCTCACTCTCAGGCCAGGTGGCCCATCAGACGCAGGCCTATGTAGACACATTCAGACAATACAGGGATTGCACCCCGAACGCCCCAGATGGAAACACTTTAGCAGTCACATCAAAAAAACAATCCAAGCAAAGAAAGCCCAGGTGGCTCAGGCACCCAGGCCTCAAGGAAACCGGAAGCACCCTGCTTCTACATCAGCACCCTGGTAGGGAGGGAGGGCTAGCCTCCCAGACCTCTTCTGAGGGGACTGTCAGCATCTTTGCGGCCCATCTGAAGCACATTTCTCTCCCTGGCCCGTGAAACTGCTAAGGCCTTTGCTCACTTCTTTGTGAGGCCTATCAGTTCCCCCACCCCCATCCTACCCCTTCCAACCCCCTGTTTTTGGACCAACTCCTGCTTGGTCAGGTTGGGATCAGTGGATTATTTAAACCCCTCTGCTCCCCCCCAGCCAGCCCTACAGAACCTGGCTTGTGTATGTATTAGGAGCTGCTCCATGAGGGAGGTGCCCACAAGAGAGGGTATCAGATTCCCTGCAGGCTCCAAGGGCTGGAAGTCCTGATTCCCAGTTCTGATTCCAAAACTGGGTTAACCTCTTCTCTTCTCCGGCTGAGCCCGAGAACCTGAGGGCTTCACCCAGACCTTCGGCAGGGTGATTTCCCAGGGCACCCCATCATTAGACCTCAGGGGCTGCGGCTGAGTGGGGCTGCCTTCTCACCCAGCCAGCATTCAGCAAGGAGGCCCAGGGCACACAGACGGCAAACATCTCCTATGGGCTGGGTATTTCCTGCCTGGTGAGAAGAGAGATCTAAAGGAGCAAGAAAACTACTTTAGGTTAGAATCTGTCTACACTTGGTCCACACTTAGAGTCCCAGAAGCACCCCCTAGTCAGGTACTGAATGAAATACATCGATGACTTCCTTACTGTTTGTTTTAGGTCCTGACAAAAAGAAAACTTATTTTTGTGGGTTCTTTGTCAAACCCCCATTCTTATACCACCTTTGGGGTACCAAGTGGTTTCACCTCCAAGATTCCTTTTGCTCCTCAGAGCAACCCCTCAGTATAAGCCCATTTTACACATGAGGGGCCTGGGCTTCAGAGCACTAGAGTGCTTACTCAAAGCTGCACGGTAGCTAGTCTGGCACAAACCTCGTTCTGATTTCAAACCCTGTGCCTTTGCTCCACCACTCCAAGCTGCACCAAAGGCCTCAAGTATATGAAGAAGCCACAGTGTCTGATGGAACCTGTAGGGCTGGGGTGGGGGAGTGGAGAACTAGGAGACCTGGGCTCTAGCCCGGCTCTGAGTGACCTTGAGAAGGTCACACCGCTTCTCTGGCCTTAGCCCCTTCACCTAGAGATTCCCCTCTGAGTCTTAACCTCCAGGGACTTGAGGTCTTGGTTCTTCCGAGGAGAACTGACCCATGTGTGGGCTCTCCTGGAACCCCCTTCTCTCCACGGCCTGCCTGATGACATGCTCATAGTAGAGTGAAGAGAGACAAGAGGAAACTCCTCCTACACCCACACTCTGGGCCCTCAAGCGTGGCTGCAGTAACATTTTTGATGAAGAGGTTGAAGGAATTTGTGCTTGTGCCACTTCACCAGGCACTCAGATCCCCATTTCCATTTCCATGGATGATCAGAAGCTGGCCCCATGCCACTGAAAACAGCCCCAAAGTGGAAATGACCTGAAGTCCACAAGCAGGGAGGTGATTATCAAAATCATGGTATTGAGCACTGAAAGTACAGCGATGAAGATCTTTTTAGAGATGTACACATGGAAACTTGCTTTGACAAAAAGTGAAGTAAAACACGTCAGACTGCAAAACTGCATGTTTGGTATACAACTCTTTAAAATAATACTCCAAGAGAGTAGAAGATACACCAAAATGATAACCAAGGTTACCTGTAGAAGTTGGCAGTATGGCTGTTATATAAAATATATTATATTTCATATATTTTTTAATCATATATATTTTTTATCCCCCAAGGACCAGAAAGAAAACTTTTTTTAAGTTGGCAGTAATAGTCTTAACTTCTTCTATCAATATTTTTCATCCAGGTTCAAAGTCTTCAGCATACATCAAGTCTCCCACCATTATTGTAAGGAAAGGGACAAGTGTCCCACTCCTAGCTTTAGAAATACACACACCAAGCCCTGGCAGAGACTCACAGCCCCTTCATGATGATCAAAAATGCCCTTACAGGTCCCGCAGCTCAATGTTCACTTTTGCAAAAAAGACATTTAAGGATTCCAGACTTTTTATATTTCTAACTCAGGCTTTCCCATTTTAGGTACCTTGGATCGGTAATAAGACGGTGTTAAGGAATTACTGAATATTCAAACAAGCTGGAGAAGTTCACATCTCAGTTTTAATGAATTAAAAGAAGTATCTCTGTGGAAAGATCCTCCAAGAGGAGCATACAACATATATCATTTCCCAGCTGAAGTTCACCAAAGCCTTCTATTTTAGGACTATCTCAAAGAGTAGCAGTTCCATAGATGCAGGGACATCTGGGTAGGCGCAGTTTCTGTTCCCTCAGCCCTCTAGCCCTGGTGGTTCTCAGTCCTGGCTGCATACTGCGATCATCTAGAGAGACTTCGTTTTTAAAAACTTCTTGGTCTGGGTCCCACCTTGGATTTGGTCTAGGGAGCACTGAGAGTCAGTGCTGAGAACCACTTCGCCCTCACACCCTCTTAGCTACCCATGAGAAGAAGAGGTCAACACCAGGGCTGGGGTCCAACCTCAGAATTATTCAGGCATCATCCAGTTTTGGAGCTAAATGGCACCTCAAAGGACATCTAGTTTAATCTCTCATTTTACAGAGGAAGAAACTGAGGACTCCTGGTCCCCTGTCTCCTCCTATACTGGTTCCTGCCAATGCTGGGCCCCCAGGCCTCTGGACCACAACACCCTTCATTCAGAGGGAGAAGCAAAGGAAACCTTCAGATCTCCAAGGCCATTTTGCTGCCAGAGGTTGCCCATCAGGCCCCTCTCTCTGGCCAGTGGACCCAGACACAGTGAAATCCTGACTCAAGTCCTCTTCCTAACACACCCCAGAACTGGGGATGAGAAGCCAGGAGGCTGCTGGCTCACGGAAACAGGAAGCCCACCCTGGCAGTGGAGCAATCACATCACTGTGGCACCCAGAGGCTGCCCGAGCAGAAGGCAGGTATCTTCTCCCTCCTGCACCGGCCTCCACCACAGGAGGCCTGAGAGGCTCTGCCATGGACAGAATACTCCTGTAGACAGCAGTAACAGCCCTGAGTGGGTGGCCTTAGCCCGTACTCTCTTCTGGAAACACTCTGGCCACCAAATAGGGAATTTTGTGGTAAAAAAATCTCCACACTTTTCACCTCCTGTACCTCTGATCACTCCCCTTTTCCAACCTTAAGATTCCATTATTAATTCCTCTTTAGCAGCCTTGAGGGGAAAAAACAAAAAAAAAACAAAAAACTCTGAGGATTGGGGAGAAGGTGTTATGCAGGGGTAAAGTGAAATACACACACACACCCAGCCTCATAAGGCCCCCGCTCCTGGTGACCAGGCTTCTGCCTTTGGTTCTGACACTGCCAGGACACCCTGGAACACAGGGAACTATTCTCCCAGAGACCATCCATCCTACAGGGGAATCTCTGGGCACCTTCTCAACTCCAGCCCCACAGCTAAGCTCCTTGAGGAGAATCTCCCCTGAGCTCCAATCTGCCCTCTATGAGCTTGGGGTGGGGAGGGGGAGGGCTGTCCATAGAAGCAGACAGGAGAGCCCCTCTGGGTTCCTTCAGAGTTCAAAGTCATCCTAGTAGCTGACACCAGCCCCTGCCCCCGGGGAAGGACGGTGAACTGCAGGGGGGGGGGGGGGGGCTGGCAGCTCCATGTAGCTTCTACCTGGAAGCAGAGCTGATCAGCAGCCAGTGCTGAGGGAAGCCCCTTTCCTGAGGCTGCACCTGTGCGTTAAGCTGCCCGGATCACATTCTCAAAGGGTCTATTTTTCCTGCTTGTTGGTGTTTGTGAGTTTTATCGATGGAAGGGCCACTGTTCACAAGGTCCCTGGCTTCATGAATGATGCCCCAGGCCGTCCAGTGCTCCCATACCTGCCCTGTGGTCCCAGGAGGTGGTGGGAAATAGGGCACTGGGAGACAGGCATTTGAACTTTACCAGGGCCAAATTAATTCTATGGTAATAAGTGTAAGGCATTACTTCTTTTTTTTTTGTATGTGTTGGGTCTTTGTTGCTGTGCACGGGCTTTTCTCTAGTTGCGGTGAGCAGGGGCTACTCTTGGTTGCGGTGCGCGGGCTTCTCATTGTGGTGGCTGGCTTTTCTTGTTGCAGAGCACAGGCTCTAGGCGTGCTGGCTTCAGTAGTTGTGGCTCGCAGGCTCTAGAGCACAGGCTCAGTAGTTATGGTGCACGGGCTTAGTCGCTCTGCGGCATGTGGATTTTCCCGGACCACGGATCGAACCCCCATCCCCTGCATTGGCAGGCAGATTCCTAACCACTGTGCCACCAGGAAAGTCCCAAGGCATTACTTCTTAATATTAAAACATGGCTAAGATATAAGCTAATACAGAATTCACACGCATTTTTCTGAGAATAAAGTGACTCCAAAGGCTGCCTTGGGTGTCCCACGGAATCCTCTCCTCTCCCTGCGTTGTGGATTGGATGGAGTTTGTGCAGCGCTGCCAGAGGGTTACAGTGCAGCCAGGGTGTGCAGGTCCAGAAGGAAAGCCGCCTTATTACGGTCCTCCCCCATAAGGCAAGCAGAAAAGCCGATTGCCAGCGTCCGAAGTCCCCGCCCTCCTGCAACTTTCGGGGAACAATTCTGGCCCCAGGAGGCTGCGCAGGCTCCGCGTGCCCGGAGCGGGGGCGCTTCCCACGGTCATCTGTCTGGGTGCCCACCCCACACGCGCGTCCCCTCCCGTGGTTCCTACCATGTCCCCCTCGGTGGCTGGACCGGCTCCTCGGCGCGCTCAGCCTGCTCGCCAGCTCATCCCGCCGCCCCGGCCCGCCCCCGGCACCGTGGCTCTCCGGGCTTCCCGGGACGCGGGATCCGGACCGAGGGGCCACAGCTTTCTAGCGGCCAACTCCGGGGCAGGCGATGCGCGGCGGGATGCTCTGAGGTTAGGCTTCGTTAGAGGAGGTCTAGGAGAATGCACACGCGGGATCTGTCGTTCTGCGGTAGCCTTCCCGCAGCCTCGAGCCTCCTCAGTCAGCTAGGGAAGTTTGCAGAGTTTGCAAAGTCCTGGCGTCGAGTCCCGGCCCAGCCTCCCCACTTCCCCGAAAGCGCGGGAGGGGGGAGCTCCTTTCACAATAAAAGCCCTGCCCCGGGCTCGAGCAGCCGCAGCCGCCTGAAGCAGGGGCCCAGGTGCTAGGAAGGAATGGGCCCCGCCCACCGGTCCGCTGGGTGATGAGCCGAGGCTGGGGGGCGAGTGGCGCTGCGCAAGGCCTGGGGACATCGCCTCGATCTCTCCTCCAAGGGGTGCGGTGCACTGTGAGCCCCTGGCAACCCGGGGGTTCCTGCGGAGGGTCTCCCAAACTACTTTCCCCTGCAAAGCCTCAGAAAGACAACTTTACTGGCATCTCATAGCCTTGCTTGGGCCCAGTCCCCAAGGGCGATTTGGAAGGAAACACGGAAGGAGAATCCGTTGACCACTTAAGATCATTAACGATGAACAGGTTTTCTCCTTGAGAACTAATCAGTGTTTTAAGTTGCTGCAGTAAGCCACTGATACCAACCTCTCTGCTAAGGATGCGAACGCAGGGCCCTGTGTCCCCTGGGTCTTCATGCTCCTTGTTGGAGAGAAGACTGGGCTTGGAGCCCATAGCCCTGGAATTGGGGGCTGGCCCCTCTGTAAACAGCTCAGTGACCTTCTACCAGTGCCTGGACCTCTTTGAGACCAGTGTCCCTAAGCAGCCCAACGTTGTATCTCAGGATTCTCAACAGCCTGCAGGCAAGAAGGTGGAGGTGGGGATAGAGTCAGCAGTAGGACTCAGAGAATCTGGGAACCAGGCTAAAATATTACCCTCCAAGATTGAAACTAGTACGAACCATTATTAGATGGACAAAAACTGGTATGTTCCCAGAAGTTCCCTGCTACAGAATGCTTTGAGGTTGTCACTGATGACAGCGCTTCTTAAGAGGGTCTCCTTAAATTGTGTGTGTGTGTGTGTGTGTGTGTGTGTGTGTGTGTGCGTGCGTGCTGGGGCTACAACAGATGGAAAGGAAAGTATTTTTTTCAGTCCTTATCTTGTTCCAGATGCTTTCCAGAGGTTATTTCATTTCATCATCACAAGCAATCCTAAGAGAGGAATTTTATTGCCACCATTTTTCAAATAAGGAAACTGAGGATTAGGCAGTTGAAGTGACTTTCCTGAGGCCAGATAGTCAGTTAGTAGTTTAGTAAACCAAAGCCTATTTGCTAGAGCACGTGAGAAAGAGGAAGAAATCGATAAGCCAGGAACAGGAGGCAGGATGCGGTGCTGAAAACCAGAGCTTATTTGTGCATAGCGAGGACGGTGAGAACTGAGAATCTGAGTGCTGGCTGAGGAATGTGGAGGAAGGGGGAGAGGGACAGACAGTACAAACTTTTTTGTGTTCTGTCCAGATGTTTGGGGAGACGATGTGGTCTTTTGAGTCTCCTTTTCTGACTGCAACCCACATAAGATGTACATTCTTTGTCATGAGCTTTTACACAAACATATACGTACAAATGTAACTAAAACAAAGTTTTATAAATCACTGTTACACGTAGTGCACTCCAATATGTTCTATTCTATTCCATCTTAATTATTATTATTTTTGCGTGTGTGTGTGTGTGTGTGGTACGCAGGCCTCTCACTGTTGTGGCCTCTCCCGTTGTGGAGCACAGGCTCCAGACGCACAGGCTCAGCGGCCATGGCTCACGGGCCCAGCCGCTCCGCGGCATATGGGATCCTCCCCGACCGGGGCACGAACCCATGTCCCCTGCATCAGCAGGCAGACTCTCAACCACTGCGCCACCAGGGAAGCCCCATCTTAATTATTTTTAACGGTGGTCTCTAATCACTCTATTTCCCTAACATCCACTACTGAGTATAGTTTGAAAAACACTGTACTTGAAAGTAGAACAGAGACATTTCTTTAATGTTTTCAAAGAGCTTTGTGGTCTTCTACAGAATGTATCTGTTATATAGAAAAGGAATTTTAAAGGCAGGGATTTTGTTGGTCAAGTTTGAGAACACTGAGCACAGTTTCTTTGTTTTTTGTTTTTGGCAATAGGACTTGCCAGAGCCTTTGATGCTAATATATGTTGAGGTTTTCTGAGACAGGAGGATAGTGCCCAGTTTTTCCCAGGTTTACTGGATGTAGAACTCTTTTTCAGAGGAGTCATCTCTCAGGACTCATGGGACACCCTTGGGAAAAGCTATTCCAGGACCTGGTCCGGACAAGTGAAGGGTCGCATACGAACAGGGAGTGAAAAGCCTACATTCTGAAGCCCGACTCCCAAGCTCAGCACCATTTTGTTCACCTGATACTCTGCTCAGAGAAGGATCAACTACCCAGATGGTGAATGTAGGAACTCCATTCGTAAATGAACAACTGCCACTTTTATAACCCAGAATGAACGTGAGCAGTGTCCAGGAATGACCACAGCTGAGGAAGCAGATAAACTATCCAGCTGAGGACGCACGTGGGCTCTGCAATCATCCACCTGCCTTTCACAAGATCCTGCCTAGACTCCTGCCTTCCCTTTCTTTACTAACTCCTAATTGACACTGATTCCTTCCAGCTCTGAAATCCTATGAAGTTATATTAAATGTAGACAACCAATAAATCCCTCCTTTCTAGGAAACAGCACTCCAGGCAGTATTTACTTTCAGAACTTGGGCTGCTTGAGAGTTGGCTGCTCCCAGGATACTGGTAGGGCCTCTGGTTACACAGTGGACCTTGCAAGTGAGAAACATTCAACTGAGACAGGTTGGTACTAGTGAGGAATATTTTACTATTTCCACCAGAGAGAGCTTCCTACTTCATCGCGGAGTGAATCTATCTTCACCTTAACCGTTCCCAAGGAGTCAGACTTACAATTTGCTCTAATGACTTTTAGAGCTCCTTATAAATTGGTACCGCAGACAGCTGCCCAGCTGGCTACTTTTTTTTTTTTTTTTTGCTGTGCCCTGCGCTTGCGGGATCTCAGTTCCCCGATCAGGTATGGAACCCGTGCCCCCTGCAGCGGAAGCAAGGAGTCCTAATCACTGGACCACCAGGGAATTCCCACAACTGGCCCACTCATTGGTATGGTTCCATGTCTCATTCCAACTCAGACTTACTAAATCAAAATTTCCAAGGCTTGAGAATCTATCCATTTTTTAAGCACCATAATTAAGGCTAAAGCACAGCCAGGCTGAGAACTGCTGAGCTAAGCAACTCCTCTTTCTTGGCTCCCACGTCTAAATGGCCATTCTAAATGATTCTGGAATCGCTCTCCTATCCATTCTCACTGCCACTTCTTTGACCCAAACTCTTGTCTCACTCACAGAACTCTTGGAGGGACTCCCAGGCTCTGCTTTTGCTCCTTCCAATCCATCCTGCACATCACTACAAAAATGTAAATGTGGACCTGCCACTGGCCTGCTCCCCATAACTCTTGGGATTAAATGAAAATTCCTCAGCATAGCTTTCAAGGTCCTTCAGCGTTTGACTTCTGATGACCTCTCAGGCCTCTTACACATTTCTAAACCTTCTTAAGTGCAGTTCCCTCCATCTCAAAGCCTTTTCTTTCTTTTTTTTTTTAATTAATTTATTTTTGGCTGCGTTGGGTCTTCGATGCTGTGCTGTGGGCTTTCTCTAGTTGTGGCGAGCAGGGGCGGCTCTTCATTGTGGTACATGGGCTTCTCATTGCAGTGGCTTCTCTTGTTGCAGAGCACAGGCTCTAGGCGTGCAGGCTTCAGTAGTTGTGGCACGTGGGCTCAGCAGTTGTGGCACACGGGCTTAGTTGCTCTGCAGCATGTGGGATCTTCCCGGACCAGGGCTCGAACCTGTGTCCCCTACATTGGCAGGCGGATTCTTAACCACTGCGCCACCAGGGAAGTCCCTCAAAGCCTTTTCTTGATAGACTCACTTCTAACCGGACACACCTCCACTGCCATTCACCCCCACCCCCAAATCCTCTCTATTCTGAAGACCCAGCACAGCATGTTCCCTGAAGTTATTACCTTGTTGGTCTCTCTCATGGACCTTGGACTCCCTAGAGGAAGGGACCATTCTGGGCCTTCTGTGTCCACTTGCCTAGCACCAAGTAACTGCTCAGTAAATGCTTTTGAATAAAGGAATAAGAGAGAAGACTGGGGTTCAATAATGAATCTGCCGCTCACCAAGCACGGGTACTCAGTAAAGCAACTCTGCTCCAATGGCTTCACGTTCCTCGCCTGACAAATAAGAACCATCATCCCTGCCCAGCCCACCTCCCTGGATTCCTACAACCTCATAATGGGTTCATATAAATTACATCATCCAGAACAAAGCCTGTGTCATGACAAACTTTCAAAATCATTTGTTGAATCCATGAATGAAGGAATGAATGAATAAGAAAGAAGCTTCCTTTGTGGCTAACATCCAGTTCACATTTTCTCTTTTTATCTTCACTCACTGAACCCTTGTGTTTTAGAGGGCAGCAGTGTACTCAGCCAAAAGAATTACGTATTTCACAACCCCACTTGCAAAAAGGGACCGTCGATGGGAAGTAAATGGAAGTCATTGAGTGGGGCCCACAGGAAGCTCTTCCCAGGGGGCTGGCATTGCTTTGATTATCGCTCAGCAAATATTCACTCCCCTTCGCCCTGCTGTGAGCAGAGCATGTGTCTGTGCCACTGTCGTTTGGCTTGGCCATGGACTCACCATAACCGTTAGAATGTGAGCAAGTAGAGGCATTGTATCTGCTTGTGCAGCATCACTTGGCTTTCATTCTGGGGGTTCACCATGTAAAGAACAAGCCCTGGGTAGCCACTACCCTCTAGTCTGAGCCCTAGAATGAGACACGTGGGACAGACCTGAGCCCAACTCACTGCTTGGAGTCACACCCAGCGGCCCCAGCGGCATGAGGATAAACGCTGCGGTTGGAAATCACTGAGTCTTAGAGAAGTTTGTTCCATGACATTATTATAGTAAAAGTTGAGACATACAGGTAGGAGGGCTAAGCGCTTAGAGAGTCAATCTAGGACGAAAGGCCTCCCAGGTCAAAAAAAGGAGCCCTATCAGGGCTTCCCTGGTGGCGCAGTCATTGAGAGTCCGCCTGCCAATGCAGGGGACACGAGTTCATGCCCCGGTGTGGGAAGATCCCACATGCCGTGGAGCGGCTGAGCCCGTGAGACATGGCCGCTGAGCCTGCACGTCCGTAGCCTGTGCTCCGCAACGGGAGAGGCCACAGCAGTGGGAGGCCCGTGTACCGGAAAAAAAAAAAAAAAAAAAAAAAAGAGCCCTATCATACCAAAAAGTCTCATAATAACATAATATATAACAAATTATTATACATATATGTGCTATTACTTCAACATAAAAATATAGAAACAGATGTCATATTAAATTATCTATTACTCTATATTATTTATTTTTGTTTCATAAAGTCTATTATTTAAACAAAACAAAAATAGGACTACTTAGCAATAGTAATTAGTAGCAATGAAAAATATGTGAGAAAAATATAACAAAATTTTGGTTTCTTTCTCTTCTCTCATATAGTAATTTATTTAAATTCTTTATTGGATATTTATATAAACTATATCATTGTATATTCTTAAGCTATATAAATGTAAGATTGCTTAAAAAGATAACAGAAATGTAATAGGACTACTTAAACAGATATTACCTAGATTTAATTTAAAAATAACAATATGGGGCTTCCCTGGTGGCGCAGTGGTTGAGAGTCCGCCTGCTGATGCAGGGGACACGGGTTCGTGCTCCGGTCTGGGAAGATCCCACGTGCCGCAGAGCGGCTGGGCCTGTGAGCCATGACCACTGAGCCTGTGTGTCCGGAGCCTGTGCTCCGCAATGGGAGAGGCCACAACAGTGAGAGGCCTGAGTACCGCAAAAAAAAAAAAAAAAAAAGGTACCTAATCAAACTTACAAGCTTTTGCACAACAAAGGAAACCAATGAAAAGA